TTAGAAGGCATTGGTGGTACGATTGACTGGAAAGATTCGTTAAAATAAATAGTTTTAAAAAAATCATCACTATTTTACTAGAACTACTTTTAGACATGCTAGTGCATGTGCTTGTTATAGCTGTCGGTTTTGGTGGTGGCGGTGACGTTACTTAGCTTTCAGCAGCTTTTTGTAAATTAGTTTTAATCTTGTGCAACACGTTCAAAAAGATGTCCATTGCTGAAGTTTCTCTTTCGCCATCTTCTTCTTCTGCAGCCGTACCCGCATTTTGCGATGCCTGAACAATTTATTGTTTACACAGACAAACTGTTTAATCATTTTACAAGCTACTGTTTTTAGATTTTGTGTTTGGAAGATCTTAAAACAGTCTTATTAAACGCACATAAAACTAAGAATGACGTAGAATTTTAATCAGATTTCTAAGAAACGATCGAATCAACCTTTTGGGATCGGAATTTTGTCTGCAGGCAGCAAAGATTTTCACCACATTGACCATATTGCGGTGCACAAACACAGGCTTGAATAACGTAGTACAGACATGGAGTTGTTAGTGGTAATTCGCCTATGAAAAAGACTTGTTATTTTTTCGTTCATCTTAAACTGTTACTGTGTGACTTTGTTGTTTTACTGAGATCTGTTGACTTTGATCCGCAGCCTATTGAATTTTCAAAACATCACTTGTTGTCGCTGAAGTGACGATTAAGTATTGCTCCCGGACAGTGTGGTTTTTTTCAAGTCAACTGTTTCTCCCTTTTTTCTTTTTTTTTTTTATTTTTTACAAGATAGCTGAAGAGATGCTTCAATTTGAGATGTTTACTAAACATATTAGAAATGAACTTCTTATACCATTTGGTCCAGTGGTTATGCCGGTGACACTTGGAGGAGGCCGGGTGTATTGCTGGTTTGCTAAACCTTCTTGCTGGAAAAGAAGAAAGTGTCAATGTTAAAGTAAAAAAGAACAAAGATCATTTTGAATACTATTTTCAGGCCATTTGACTTTTTTTTTTCATAAATGTATAACAGCGTTCATATACTGAGCTTTTTTCTTCACCTTGTCCAAAAACTCTTTTACACTAATAATGAAAGGTCATGAAAACTGTTGCCTGAAAAGTGATTGAAATAATGTAGCTCTAGCTGTGAAAAACGAATTACAACAGTAGCGAACTACCCTGTTCGATAATCATTTTCTTGAACACTGACTTACAGCTGAGAGAGGCGTTTTCAAAGCAAAAACACTCGAAATATTTATAACTAAGAGAAGGAGAGGGAAATGATAAGCTGAAAGTAACTTTGCTTTTCGCGCTTTAACAGTGTACAGTCATCCAATCCAACACTTAATCTTTTATGGATGTTAATCTGTTTCAAAAAAAGCTCACTTGAACATACTGTGGTTGTTGATACTGATTTGTGGATACCGCAGGTTGATATATGGAACTGGTCTAAAAGAATTAGTTTACAACTCAGAGTTGCAGATTATATGTAATTTTCTAACTGGTAAAGCAAAAAAAAAAAAAAACTGTGTATTGTTCAAAATACTGTAGATGGACTGTAAATGAAATGTGGTTAGCCCAAACTATAAAATAACCAGAAATCACTTACCTGTGGTAAAACTGCTGAACTGCTTGGGCAGGCGCACATTCCAGGAAGTGCTACTTTGACAACAGTAGAGCAATCACAGAAACACGGGCATACCTGTCCTGATGCACCCTGACAGTAACAGGGTTGCGATATACCGGTGGATACCACTGGCACAACGCTGGTGTAAGTCGACTGGTCCGAGCCGGTGTATATCGGTCCTCCTGTTATGGATGTGGCCACTGGCATCGTCGCTATTGTTCCTGGAGAGGCGGCTGTTGACGTTGTTGTTGTGCCGGTCGTCGACGTTGTAGTCGTGGTTGTTGTTGTCGTGGTGGTCGTAGTTGTCGTCGTCGTTGTTGTAGTCGTTGTTGTCGTTGTCGATGTTGTCGTTGTAGTCGATGTCTCTGTTGGCTGTGTCCATGTGTATGGTGTTTGCGTCGGTACCTGGAATAAAAGAACAAGCAAAGAAATTTAACTGAGAAGAAGTCACGTTGAACTACAGCTAAACTACAGCTGTTTGCTAAAACTTTTCCCTAACTTTGAAGTAAAGGTTATTAAACTGATCTTGGTGGTAATAGTAAAATACAAAGGATTTCTAAATTAATATTAGTTCTATTATTTTTTAGGCACGGAATCAAAAGTGAAACGGAAATTGAGGGAAAGAAGAAAATTCGTTAGTTGATAAGGTGTGGTTTTGTAACTCAGTACAAATAAAAGCAAATTGTCTTTTTCTTAGAAAAACAAGTATGCTGAATAAATAAATTTTCATTATTAAAATCATGAAATTGTAAAAACACACAGTAACTATCGGTGAATAAGTTGAAGTAACAGTTGATATTGTAGGTGATATCGTTTCCGTTGTCTGTATCGCTTGTGAGTGATCACATGTGCACTGATATTGTGGAATACCGGTGATTGTGATAAAAACGCAATGACAAGGATTCTGCTGATAAGGCTGTTGTGGTTGGTATTGTTGTGGAAAAGTGGTATAAGTCTGCTGAGTGTAGGTTGCAGTTGGCTGTGTAACGATGAAGGTGGGGGACGATGTGGTTGAAATGGTCGTTGGGATCGTGATAGTGGTGGTAGTAGTCGTAGGAGTAGTAGTTGTTGTTGTTGTGGTCGTCGTAGTTGTAGTTGTTGTTGTTGTGGTCGTCGGAGTCGTAGTTGTTGTAGCAATAGTTGTTGTCGTGATTGGTGCTAAGGCTGGTGTCATCGTGGTTGCTGTCGGTGCAGTAACTGTGTATGTAACTGCCGGGATACTGACGGATGTGAACTGCGGACGTGGCGTTGTAGTTATCGTTGGTATCTATATAAAGTCGATGATTACGGGTTAGAATACTTTTTTCTTTTGTCCTCTAGAAGGGTTCTGACATTTTTCGTTTTTCATCTAGACTTTTTTTACGTCCTTCTGTAATTTTCATTCTGGTAGGCCTACAGTATATTGCTTAGTGGCAACCCGTAAGTACTAACAAAATGCACTATTCGCTAAAGGTTGCAAGTTATTAAACCATTAGTTCGTTCATTTATTGTCGTTACTAGGTGTAAATTTTTTAAAGGAAATAATGTATAATACCCAATTTCTGCAGAAAACAAGAAAAAAGAAAATTTCACAGAGGTTGCAAAGATGTAAATAATTCCGTTTTTATAACTTCCAATGTGTAAATCTGGTGTTTTATCAAGAGAGGGAGGTTATTGATGATGAAAAGTAAACAGTGAGCAAAACAGAAAAACTTTCTACTCATTTTTTTTGCAAAATAATTTTGTGAGGGCTACAAATATCAAGGATCTTCTTTTCGTTTCATTCGTACTTTTGTATTTTAATGATGCCGAAAATGTAACTGCATGTGTTTAAATGAGTTTTTCTAAACACTTGTATTATAAAGTGCAAAATTTTGAATAATTTAAATTAGTAACAGCAGTAGCAGTAATAGGATAATAGCCAATCATAGTAGAGATGGATTGTGTTCGAAATTTAGAGAACGCGGGAAGAGTGTTTCCAAAAACAGTTGATACTTTTCAAAAGAATCAGATAAAAAGTCTGATTTTTGAGAGACATTGAATGTTACCAGCTTTTTTTAAAGAGTATATTCAAGTGAAAATTGTCAGTGATTTTATAGGATTATAAGATCTGCGAAATACTTTGTTTATCCTTACCTAATTTCTGGTTAGTTTCATTAAGAATGAGGAAAGAAAATAATGATGAGACATTTGAAGATTTACCGGTGAATAAGTTTGTGTTGTGTGATAATCACTTAAGGATGACGTATACTGTGGTAGTACCTCAACGCATTGGCATTGATACTGAGGTGAGTGTGTCACCATTGTGGCAACCACAATTAATGCACAACTACATCGAGAAGTCTTTGATGTCTGTAACTGTTGAAGCTGTTGCTGCAATTCTTGTTGCTGTTCGTACTGTGCTTGAAGCGCAGGTTCGTTCGTCTGAAGCAGCTGATCACAGGTATTTGATGTCCCAGGTTTACTACAGTCTTATTTAAGCGTCAAACAAATCGGAGAAAAAACATTGCTGGAACAGTTTTGGTTTTACCAAAATCTGATCAGTTAAAAAACCGTTACAGATTTGGCTGTATTTAATCAGACTTAACGCAGTAAATTTTTTGAAGAATTTACTGTTTTCTTGGATGTAGGGAACTGAAAACTTGACTAAAAATGTTGTTAAACTACAATCAAAGAGAGTACTGGTAAGAATGAATTTTTGAAGAATTAAACTGAAACACTGTCTTTGACATGGATTGTTAAGAGTGATTGTCGGTTACTGTTTATTCATTGCAACGATTATTAATCAAAACATGTCTGATAAGTTTTAAAATTTATCCAATTTTTCCCCAAAACTATATCTAATTAGTAGATTACACAGTATTTACGCCTCTTAAAAAACAAATTTTGTTTTATCTGCTAGGCACCATAATGTTATTTGTAGACTTTGCAAAAATCTATGTATGTTTATACAACAAACTGTTCCCATTTAAATGCTGATGTACTGAAACAATAAGTTGAGCTAATAACAATGAAATAAAAGTAATTAAGATTACTTTTTTAAAAAGTAAATATACTGTTGAGTTAAGAATTGAGAATAAAGAATTGAATTAAAGGAAAAAAGTGTTAAAAAGAACGCTTTTTGAAGGATTAGTCGAAAGTTAGTGGCAAATAGTTTAGCGTTTCAAAATTTTAAAATTCCTACCACTGCTGGGCGATCGCATGAGCACTGAATCTGTTGAAGGGACAACGGCATTACAATGCAACTACATTGTTGTCGCTTTGCTCGAACTGTAAATTTTTCTACAGCTTCTACCTAAGAAAAAAAAAAACTGGAGCAGAGAAAATGCAAAAATGTTTCTAAATTTTTCAAACAGTTACAAAAAAAAGAGTACATTGTTTTTACTGTTTAGCGAAACAAAAAGAAAAATAGGAGAAAGAAAAATGAACAGAAAACCTATTTCGAAAAAAGGCTTATATAACGGTGTAAACAATGACACAATTTTGTTGCCAACGATCATTGAAGAAATTTTAAAATTGTTTTTTATTTTATGTTTTGACTGCAATTTTATTTTTTAATGTCTATATCAAATCAAAAGAAAAAAATTTGGATAATTACGATTGGTAATTAGTGGTGAATAAAAAATTAAGAAGGAAGAACCAAAAACTTACATTAGCGATAGCAAACAGGACAACTGTCAATAAAATAACCCTACTGTTGTACATAACTGAAAAAATTTTCAATAACTGTTATTTAGTTCAGTAAATTTTTTTTTCAGTTGTAAAATTAAAAATTATTTCTTCATCGTTTAATATAGTCAAAAATAAATCAATTATATAATATAAGAAAACTTCGGTTTTCAACATCGGTTTATTTGCTTAATTCTTTTAAGAAAGAACAGAAAAAAAAAATAAGAGGAAAAATGTTTAAAAATTTAAAGAAAAAAACTTTAAAAATTTTCTACAATAATTATAACACAAATATACGCAGACACCGACAGACACGCACAGATGGAAAGAAAGTAAATTTTCAGTTGTCGAACAGAAGTCGTTAAGAAACTGCTAAAATTCTATAACTGATTTCAAGTGGACACCAGTTGAGGTTTAAATAGACTCAACTGCTGGACGGTCAAGGCAACAAGGGCGGCGCTTGTAAGCTGTAAGCATTTCTCGCCTTGCAAACAATTAAATTCAATTCCATTCATCCACCACCCATCCATCTAACTATCCATCTAATCAACCAATTGCTCTTACTCCTGCTGCTCCTGCTTCTGCTCCTACTGCTGGTGCTATGTACACAAAACTTCATGAAACATCGTTATCGTTGTTAATGCATTTATGGTGGCTGTCGTTGTCGTCTTCAAAAGTCTCTGTTTCTTTTGCAACTAATTGGTCAACAAACGACAAAAATGATTGTAAGAAAAGAGGGAGACGAAGCCGATGAGTTAGAAAAAAAAAAACAGCTGAATTTGGAATTGCTGTTTAGTTGCGAATTAATAGTTCGAAACATTGGCAATGCAGTTTCAACCAAAATCACTATAGTCATCAAACAATTCTTGATTCATTACCAGTCTATAATCCCGTTCTGTCTTCTTGAGTTCTTCTTCGTTTTTTTTTATTTTTTTTTTCCATTTTTTACTTTACCTGCTTGTTATCTTGTTTTTTTTTTAACAACTTCTGTATACCACAAACTGCTTCTGCTGCTATGTTACTGCAGCCAAACAACAAGTTTTACAAACTGTATTGTTTTTGTTGTTTTTTTGTTGTTATTATTGTTAGTTTTTTATTAAAACCTAGATAATTATGATGTACAAGAAAACATTTTCTTTTTTAGTTTTTTGGCTTTTTCATTTTTTCTTATGGTGACAATGTTTGTTGACATTTTGCTAATAACTGGAAGTTGACAGATGAATAGCAACAGAAACAAGAGCTACAGCAACATTTGAAATTTTGTATATGCTTACTTTATCAATGGCAGCTCGAATGATGATAATAATAATGATAAAAGTAAGAAGAAAATTGTTATTAGTATTACTGCTACTGTTAAAGTTATACTTGTTCTTTAACATCGGCATTACTGCTTTCTTCTTCTTCTTTTTCTTTATTCTCTTTATAATTCAAGCTTCAAAGCAAAAGTCGTTTAGTCAGCCAAAATCCTAACCAAGCTTCAACCGGTATTTTCTGCACTGTATTTGTATCTCACTTGTTCTCCATTGTTGCTGTTGAAACATTACTAAGAATAGGTCGAAGGTGAACAAGGAGAAAGCAAAATGTCTTTTGTCTGTACCTATTTTTCTGAAGTGTTTTGTACTTTTTCAATTGGTTCTGATGTGGCCATAGAAGAGAAAAAAGAAAGACCGATGACGGAAGATGAAACAGATAATGTTGATGAAAATGACAATGAACAGCTGTAGCCGATTATCTATTTTTGAAAAAATACCTTCAGCAACTACCATGATCAGGAAAAAAAAAAAAAGAACAAACAATAAACAGTGATAAACAGCAGCGAAATTTTTGTTTTAGTTTCCTTCTGTACTAATATCTTTATTGTAGAGGTAGAAAGCGAGATTCTTTTCACATCTTCTTGATTTTTCCTGTTTTGTAAAACTAAGCACAAAAAAAAA